TGTCAGTTGTCTTCTAGTTGACTTTTTGAAGTGAAACATAGCGAAGTGGCTACTTCTGAATAAAATCAAAAAATAGACCTGGACGCTCCCAGTAATGAGCTTCCGATTGTCAACAGCATACCCCCCCCCCCCCCTTTGTCGATGGGTGTCAAAAAATTCCAATTTTTATTGCTACTTATTTACATCATAACAAATAGAAACATTACTTCGAAATGACGTCATATTGACAGTGTAAGTGGAGATCTATAGTACCAATGTGTGTGTTGCTACCCGCTTTTAATCAGTTTCAAATTCGAGTTCAAAAGACGCCCGTTACTTTTATTTCGAGCATGACAAGAGGCTACCAAGAGAATTTAATCTTGACACTCTCCTATAAGTTAAACCAGGCTCGCAATGAAAACTTTCAAGTTTATATATTGAACGTGTCATAATTAGGTTTTGATCAATTGCGCTGTCAATGGCCTGGATCGCTTTAAGAGCTGTTTTCCAAGAAATAAGCGCACTATAGTACAGTGCATTTCCTCAAATTGGAGATCTACCAGATCTCATGAATGCTTTAGCGACGATCGTGTTAATAATCAGGCAGAAWACCTGTACTTAACAATCTAAGTATTAGTGATTAGCTGAGCTACTTCAAATCGCTGATGRTCGGTTTATGTATGGGATAAACGTCGGATTTTTTTCTCAAAATAAACGCGATTAATATAATCACTCTTTTACAAAGATTCGACACTGMATCGAGTGTCTTCATCAGTWCGAATAGATAKATTAAAAAATCRTCCTGACAAAARCCGTCAATYAGTTCACCTCAACTGGCCACATGCATGTATTCTACAAGGTAGAAATTTAATCCAAAATTGCTGTAAAGGGAAATACAAAAATAAGCTAGGCTTGCATTCTCGCTCGTTACTGCTCAAAACAGGCGGTCAGTGCGAATGCACGGTGATCTACAACCTGTTCAATGGATAGTATTTACTGTTCTTCTCAAAAAAGGGAAAAAAACAAAGCAAAACAAAAAAGGAAAATAATCAAAAAATCAAACAAACCATCTGATTAGTGATCTTCATTATATAGTCTTTTTCTGAAATACAAAATAGGCAATCATGGTGCATTTGGCAGCATGAACAAAACTAAGATGTTTGTACTGAATCTAGATTAGAAAGCAATGCGTTATGCTATTTCAGAAGAGGTTATGGGACCTATGGTAATAGCAGTGGTGAGTGATTCATCTGTATTACATCAACGGGTTATTACCAAAACGTTTAGAATGCGATTGTGGACACTCGACTCACAGCTCTAATCTCCAATCAAGAAGAGTCGATTATAAAATTATCCCCACATACCAGAGAATGATTGGGGAATTCTAATACAGATTTTACCTAATGTATTAGAAAAATACAAACATGACTATGACCATTCTATTCACCTTTCTCACACCCTTCTCACACTAGTTTACCGCTAGTTTACCGATAGTTTACCGCTAGTTTACCGCTAGTTCCCACCATCATCCTTCTGGGTTTCTCCGACCCAAACTCTCTCAGAGTGGCTAGGAACGCCTGGCTATGCGCTATACGGGAACACTATCTTGCCCAAAAATTACTGTCAATTATTTATTATCGTCAATATTGCCATCAGCAGCTAATACCCACAATACCTTGCGTCAATGCATTCTCCTTTTGCCATCCATTAGCTGTATTTGATACAAAATAACCTATAGTATAATAGTTCTCACTAAATCTGTACTCGCTCTTGTTTTTGATATCAAGAATAGTGGTCAATGCTAGAGCCATGATATCGAATGTTCTTCTTTGTTTTACGAGGATTTTGTGTCAGTTTGCACATCTAAATATTTCATAACAAACACATCGGCATAACAAATGGAAGTGATGTTGCAGCCTTAACTAAAGTAAAAGATACAAGAGTTTGAGACAAGAATCAACTTTAACTTGTTTTCACCTGCTMTCTGGATCCGCTCCTGGGTTAGGGTTTGCACATAATAAAAAAACAACCGCGGCAGACTTTTGTGGCTGGTGATACTCCTGAAATTGMTGAAAGTGCCTTCTTCTTTCGGAACTCAACCTCGTGGTAGATCCATGACCACACAGGGTGTGCAAAAATAAAACTRCATATGTACAGGGGGACCTCTACGGGTTACGACATTATTTATATAGCAGTTAAAGTACACYAAAAATTGAGTCAAATTCGGTTAAAATAAGCGAAAGCTTTTTTCCTGATCATGAAMATTCTAATTGCGAAGAAATTAATTTGGAAATTAAAACAATGATGTAGGTACTTTTACAGAATCGTGAGGTAGGAAAAYTAGACCACAATTCCCCTCAGAACTGATAGGTTCAGAAACATTCTGTCAACCCATTCATGTCTAATTAATTTCTCTGATATTTTAAAGCCAAGGCGTAAATACTGCTCTTATTTCTAAGAAAAGCAAATTTCACACCCAATGTTTAAAAAATGCATGGCTTCTCATTAAGAACCAATCGCTTGCCTGTGCTAAAAGTGTGAGAACTGAAATGACAACGCGAAATCTATAATGATTCTTGCATGTCTCCTTRAAACTTCTCTTTTAATGTTGTATTTATGAAACGCTGATGAAACATGAAATAAAACTGATTGCAAGAACAATATTCTTTCTAAAATGGTCGAAATGCAATTATAAAGACTTGGGAAATGCTAGCTTATCAATGCGTTTGTTTCGATAAGTCCGTTTAGTGACATACACTATTAAATTTACTGACATTTAAATTATTTTCATTGCTTGGATTGTACTTAATTTAACGAAACTCGAGGCATAATGTTATAACGACAAATCTGGAACTAAAACGAAACGGTTCAAGCAAACGGAAACCGGATCTTGATAGYTCGTCATTAAGTTTTCTTTTTTTCGATTTATTTCCGAAATTAATATTTGCTCGCGTATKCAAGCACTTGGCCAAATCTGTACAAATTCACATTTTACCTACAAGCTATCGTTGTACAGTTTTTAGCAAGTGACAGTCGGATAATGTGATTTCACTTGGTGATATGTATGTGTGTTTAGATATCTACTGACGGGTTTTTAACCCGACGACATTTACGCTGAAACGTTTTGTCTGTCATTTKTCATCACATTTACTACAACCSAGAATTCTTTCTAGAATGAACTAAGCGTCAAAAAATACTTACGCAAGGCCTAGTCTGATGGTCTGTTAGAGATATCTTGCATGACTTAGCTCTATAATTAGTGGGTGTAACAAAAAATCATATAATGGAAGATGATCAGTTAACGGAAAAAAAATAAAAAAATAACGATGATARCAAAATAAATAAATTGATGGCGATTGAAATATCACGAGAAATAACGCAAACAATAGTGGCTTTCGACGAKATATTCATGCCTCATATTTTATATAATTAATTCAATAAGATTTTTTGTTTTTATTTTCTTTCTTTATATTTKTATTTTTTTAGTTTGTAGTGAATAGTTGCACGATGGTCAGTGCTTTTGCATCTTTAAACTATCAAGCTTAAAATAATCTTGGTATCTCTAGCATTAGACTAACACTGATAAAAGACCTAGGAATATTTCGCCTTAAAACCCTTTAYGACGAGATAGTGATTAATATTAAGAAACTTAGTGAAAGTATGGATGTAAAACGGTTGCACCTGCCGCAGTCTTCTAGCGCCATGGCGTCAAGGAAAGAGAAAACGCGTTCCTACAAYGATTGCAATCGTGAAGTAATGTATTTTCCATCTCACAAAAACACGTAATCGTTAGTAATGCATCCCACAAAGAAATATTTAATTGGAGTGATAAACAGCAGTGAGAAGTGGTTTCCTTATGTCTCTAAAGGAAATTGAGGGTCCTTACACAGATTATTCACGAATTAACCTTAACACTAAGACGGGAAAGATCCTTTTCTGTCAATTTTGGAAAAAGCTTAGTGTTGTTGGTCCAAATTATCAAGACGTATTTAGGATCAAAATACAAAGAGTAAATGGTAGGAGTGGGTTTATCGATCCCTGCGCGCGGTCTAATTAAGATAACTGAATTTTAACAATAGGTATCGGCAGGCTTTACGTTTTTAAGCAGTTTTCGTGCTAAATCAAGAACGCAGTCTGTATTATAGTAAAAAAAAAACATTTCAAAGTTGTTGCGTGGATGTGAAATGAAAAAATTGACTTAAAGTTTGCCTCGGAAATTCAACCAATTAATTTCTTAATAAATGAATTGCGCTTTGGCTTTTTGATGACAATACGACAACATGGGATTAATCTTCTAGATCGTTAATTGACATTTATCTAATAGATATACTATTTGCTTATAATTAGCACATTAACGTATAAAAGTACACCGCGACTATCGAAACACTCACACAATCTACGGACATCAAACCACAACTGTATTCAACACTGAAAAACAAGGTAATACAAGGTGCTTACCAATTCATTTGCTATTCTTAAAACAAGGTTTTATTCTTGGGCCAATTTTTTGCTWTTTTAGATTAAATTGGGTTATTTTAGAATAAGAAAAGATGGAGAATTCACCACTTTTTAATTATTAGAGTCTTGTGGACTGCGCGCAATAGAAAGGAAATTCACGAGAAAATGAGCTAAAACCACTAAGAATAGTACAGTACTAGTAAGTGCAAAAAATCTAATTGTAGAGCAAGATACAAAGTATAGGAAGAATATGCGAAAAACTTTAATATAAGTGGAAACGGGAGTGTTCTTACTTGTTCTTAGTTAAAAACAGTAACTCGGCGAATAAAGGGTGAATAAAGGGTGTTTGCCAGGAAAATACCTTTTATTTAGTTATTTTGGTCATTTGCCTCACCATAGTTAACTATTAACTATGGCCTCACTCATTATATAACAAACTTCGCTGTTTTGATTTGATTTCTGTTCGTGATTTACGAAGAGTTATATACCAAAGTTTTTTGAATGAAAATCAAGAGGAAGACACCATTCAATTAAATGGTCTTTTAGGCCTAATTAAAGTTAATTATGTATCGATATCCTACAACAGTGATCAATTGAAAGGATAAAAGCTTGCAGTAAATAGAAATCACAAATTAACATTATTTTCAATCAAAATATGACAACAAATTGTTTTCAGATATAGCAAGACTTAACAAGAAAATGCAGCTTTAATCATCCCTAATCCGTCGGAATAATACTGAAAGTTGCGGTTCCTTTTCAAGAGACGCCCCGCAAAGTTGACGCGAACCGTAATTACGGTCATCAAGAAAGTACTACTTAAAATTATAGCAACAAATCGGCAACGTGAGGGTTTGTCAGTCATCCAAAAATCGGCACTAAAATGCATCTTCATTTTTTTWAAATTTTGTCTCTATGTTTTCATTCCTGTGTTTCTTGGCTTCATTTTTTTGGTGAATTTTTTTTTCAATTGTGTTTTAAAAAGAAAGCATATATCTTTAATATTGTTTAMTAGAAAAGGGATCATGTATATTTTGGAGCTGAATTTTATTGAACTTATCATAATTGTAAAATTTGAATTTAATTTTGAACGGATAATAAAGTTTATTATTATATAAAACTTTAAAAAACATTTTTGTGGTTAATCAGGTCGTTCTATTTCAGATGGCATCTAGAACGCTTATTGCTTTCCTATTGGTTGGATGTATGCTGGTATCTGTTGTCCTTTCACAAAAAGACGAATGGACAGGAATGCGGTGGGGCAAAAAATCGTTACAAACCAAAGAAACTCATGATKCTGTCGCTGCCRATGAATTCCAAAGATTCCGTGAATACTTCAAACGAAAATACGACCGAGGTATATACTAATTATTATAAAAAAATCAATTAACAACATATATACTAATATATATTCCTCTTTTTTCAGACTTCACGCTTTAATAAAAGATATCATTTGAAAATGTAGCTAACTCCATGAAAATATCAAATTTTGAATTGTGACATGATATTCAAGCAAATAAAAAATGGAACTTAAAACCCTGTTGTTGCTTTGAAGATTAAAGACTAAAAAGGCACTCTAGAACATTCGATGTGATGTCGCACAGTGCTCTAATGGTATAGCGATTATTGAGTAACATTCAGAAACACACGAACAAAACATTAGATAAAAAATAAAAGAAATTAAGAGATAACATGGATATCAGCATACAGGCCTAAATTTACTTACAAGGGGACTATGCTTAGAATGGTCCTAATTTTGTTGTATATCTAGTAAMGTTTGCAAATAATGATTCTTTCAGAATTGTAATATTTAACGGGAATTATTTGGAGCAATCTAATAGTGTTATACTCTTGTTATTTTGTAAGACTTTACCTATCCGTCATCATGGCTGCAAAAACTTCACGTATCGAAGTGAATTCAAAGAAGGAAATAACAATATCCAACATATAATTAKCAGTATATTTCTAACTTTCGAAATGTTGTTATTTTCGCTACGCTCACTCGTGAGAGATTTATTCAAAGATAAAATCAGAATCCCTGTGCGCCCCTGGAGACGAGAAGTTTTAATATCAAAACAACACAAACAAACAAAATCTGAAACGAGGATTGCCAAGAAATGGTCAGGAAGCATAGTACACAAAACTCACTATTTCCAATCTGAAACAAGATTCAAATATTGAGTGTTTAGAAGTAAAGATATACAGATCTCTGACAGGTCTTTTAGATGGAAGTATTAACATTGACAWTTTTGCTTTATTATAACCCTAAGGTATTGACATTAGTTCTATAGGCATTGTCAACACAATTCACATTTATCATCTTGTTTCATATTATTTGATCTCAATTTGAAATTCAGTGATCAAGATACAGAGGTACTTATAAAATACGTCCTCTCGTGRCACAGGAATCCCAATCTAGTAAAATATACATTTTTAAACAAATCTGCCCATAGACCACCCAACTATTGCTTGAGAGAAAAAAAAAAGAACGAATGTTAGGAAAATACGGGTTACCTGTGGTATTACGTCAATGATCCAGGCCGAATATGCAAGAAGTAATACCACAGGTAACCCGCAATTTTCTAAGAGCTCTCGCAGGTGCGATAACAACATAATAAAAGCGTGCATTCGTTCTTTTCTTTCTCTAAGTAATAGTTGGGTGGCCTATGATCTGCCCTGTCAAAAATAGCAGATTTCCAAATATTCAAGATGGCATATGTCATATAATAATGGGACTGTAAAAATTTCTTTTTCTTTGATTTATTCTCTGCATGATTGATAATTGTTTTCGTTGTCATAAACACCAAAGAGGCGTTATGTCATTCTTGGAAAGACCATAAATAAACTATCACATAAGCTTCCTTTATATGTATAAATAAGTTACGTCAACTCTCTAGATATGTTTTTACTCTTACGCGTGCATTAATCAAACATCATCTTTTTATGTTATATTGGACAAAGTTATTAAACTAAATCAAATAAAAATTATCCCGCGAGGCACGGGACCTACACTCGCGAGGCACGGGACCTACACTCGC